TTGCAACGGAAGTGAGAAGTTCATCAGGACAGGCACGTGGCCCAGAAACCTCTGTCTTCCCCAGGTCCCCGCTGGCCCCTGCGGTGTCTCTGTGAGAACCAGAAAAAGACCCCTGTCCTCTGATGTCACCCGACCCTCCCCAGGCGGGCCTGGCCAGCACAACCCACATATTGGTTTCAAAGTGGACAGAGGAAGGCCTGGGGGGTGTGGGGACTTCACACAGGCCACACGGACTCCTGAGTCACCGGACCTGATAGAAGCCAGAAAAAAAGGGTGAATAAGTACCCGAGCAGGGAGGCAGGGTGGGGGCGAAGACAGTGTCGTCTGACCCTGGTCTGGAGAGCCCATCGGCCACTGAAACCTTCCTTCCAGGAACTGACGGCAGGTGGTGCAGTGCGGCCCACACCACCCAGCGGCCGCAGCATCCCCGCAAACGTGCCAGAAACTCAGCCCTGTCGCAGACAGACTGAACTAGCAATTCTGGGCTCTGATGTGCGCAGGGGTCAGAACCACGGGCAAGACGCGGGCGCTCAGACCTCCTGGGTTTCAAGCCATCTCTGTACGTCACTCAGGGACAGGCACCTGACCTCCCGAGTGCTGAGAAGCAAGCTGCTGGAAGACAAGCCGCACCTAAATTTCCGTGAGCTTAAAATACTGTATTCACACTTACTTGCTTAAAATGCACACGCTTACCTTGTTTAATGTTTCACACAGTAGATGAAATGTGTGAGGAGAAGTCCTGAGATTGACCGTAAGGGCACGAAGGAGGGCGGGTACTTCCTTAGGGTGAGACAATGGACAGTCCTGGAAAGCCAGATCACCCATTAACAGAACTTGGTTCTGCACGAAAGCATGTGGTTTAACCCGAGGGAGGTAGTTGCTATCTTGAGACGTCCCGGAGGCAATAACAGGATAGACTTAGACATTTTGCAAACCCCCAGGAGGGTGACTGTTCCTGGAAGGGAAAGGCCTGAAATTAATCAGTTAGCCAGCAAGCAGAACTTCGTGCTTCTGGCATGGAGTGTCTAGAGCCCCCCTCCCTGATCGCGTCTTTTCCTGAGCAGTAACTCCTAATAAACATGATGTCGACCAGGCTTTCAGGTCTCTGGATCCACGAGAGCCTGAGTCCCCTGGTCGCTTCTTTGCTCTTTACTTTGTCTCTTTGTTTCTTGAGTCTTGTGTCCCTCGTCGTCAGACACGGTCCCGAGCTGTGCTGGACGCAGCACCCGAGCCCCAAGTCCTACTCTGGATGTAAGACAGACGGAGCTCAGGCAGTCATTTCGGAGGCTGAGATCATAAATGTGAAATGCTTTCAGCAGTGCTAGACAGGCAGGACACACATGCGATTTCTGGCGCCAGCCGAGACCGTGTCAAGAATCCCTGGAAGGCTGCTGCCCTCCCGTCCCGGGCTGGCCGCCCTGGTTCAGCCCGGCCCCCGGGGAAGGAGATGGAAGGAGGTGTAGGCTGGGCGCTGGCCTCTCATCCTGCACGGTCCAGAGGGACAGAGCAGTCAGCATCCAGCAGTGACCGGGCCTGGGGACCCCAGGGACCCCGAGCTCTGAGCACCAGGGCGGGTGTGTGGCGGGGGTGGAGCCTGGCCCAGCTTGGGGGTCACAGGAGGCCTCCCCAAGGAGGTGATATTGAGTGGAGGTCAGATCAGCAACGGTCGCCACTAACTCTTACCAGCACGTACGTATGCAGCCATCATTGCCTCCTCATTACTGTTCTCAGCAGCTGCGTGTTTTAAACCAGAACATCCCTGTTACAATTAGGTAACATTTTGATCCGCATTCGACAGACGAGGAGAGCAGAAACCAAGGCGATAACTGACCTCGGTCACACAGAGCAGAAGTGGCTCGGTCAGGACTGGCACCCACGCAGGCAGGTCCTGGCCTCCCTCTTCACCTTGGGGCGGGGCCGGGAGATGGTGCTGCACAGGTGGGCACGACCCGGTGGGCGGGGTGCGGGTCTCGGACTTCAGTCTGGACTTCCGCCTTTACACTGAGAGCGAGAGGAGGAAGGGCTGATGGTACAGGATCGGGCTCCGCCCTGGGTGGGCAGAGGAGCGGGCCACAGTCCAGGTGGGAGGAGGGCATGTAGTCCAGGGGATGGAAAAGGAGGCGGAGGCAGGGGCCTGAGGCCATCAGACAGGGTCTTCCTGTTTCTCTAACGGTTACACAACCTGGTCCTTAGGAGCCCTCGGGGTCACAGCCCGTGCGGGGGACAGCCGGTGTTCCGAGCACACAGAACTCGAGGACCCCGGGTGTGTGCAGCCAGCGAAAGTCACACACGAAGAGGCCAATCCTGGGACGTGAAAAACCAGGTGGTGAGGGGAGAAAACCGGGGTGCTGCTTCCAATTTTCACACACACGTTGGGAAAATACCCAAAGGATGCTTTTTACTAAAGTTAGCCATCATTACGACTGAGAAGAAAAATTCAAGTTGGTGTATGTGTGTATATACATAAGGCGGGTTGTTGTTTTTGGTTGCATCGCCTCTGGTACCTTTTTGGCAACGGTCAAATATTACTTCTGTAGTCAGACAAACAGTCAGCTTTTTAAAAAAAGCACTTTATTGGCCCCTGAGAGTGTGGCCCTGGGCACCAGGCGGGGGTGCGGCTGAGATGCGTGGTCACGGCTGAAGCCCGCCCCCTGGTGGACACACACGGCAAGGACGACCTCGGTTTCAGGACACCTGCGTGATGACTCAGTGAGCTTAATTTATTCACTTTTTGTCATTCGACAAATACGTACTGATCATATTTTAAATGCCAAGCATGACGAGAATATAAAATCAAATTTAAATAATGTCTGTCACGAATTACGTTTATAATGACCTTATGGGAATTTAGGAACGTGCCTTGAGGCCGCTTTTGTCTCAGGAGCACGGGGGAGTCTCCGCTGGCCCTGCCCCTTGGATGCAGATGTGGATGGTCACTTCCAGGCTCCTTCTGACGACGCGGCGCGTTTCCTGATGACAGTTGCAGTCCAGAAGCTACACGTGCTGTTTCCATCCGACCATTTCCCTAGACTGCAGTGCTCCTTGCTCTCGAGGTACACGATCGTGTGGAGTTGTTTCTGTAAGACACAGTGGTCACACAACTTCTCGGAGACCTGCCCGCTGGGGTGGCTCCAAACCACCTCCGGCCTCTCTGCCTGCTCTTCCACAGGGACCTTTCTGGAGGTCCTGGGGTTCATGGGGCAGGAGAGGGGTCGAGGCACTCCGTCACAGGCCACTGGCCTCTCCTGCACCCTGGGTCCCCTGCTGATCCCTTCCATCCCCTCCCCTCCTTTCCAGGCCCTGAGACCCTGTGGTTGTGAGCCAGAAACCTATTTTTTAAATTTTTTGTATTTATTATTTTTTTATTTTGGTGGGAGTGGGGGAGGTAATTAGGTTTATTTTAAATTTTGAGAGAGGGACTGGGGATTGAACCCAGGACCTCATGCATGCTAGGCACGCACTCTACCACTTGAGCTATATTCTCCCCGGAAATCTTAAGTATCTTGAGTATCAATCAGTCAAGCTGATGGACTGGACCCACGTCTACCTTTACTTCCTCCCATGCCCGCCCCCCGCCCCCACGCTAAAGGAATCTCTAAGCTGTCAACCCTTAAGCTGGAGAACAAGTGACAAGGGTGATGTAGTGCTGAGGCTGGGCAGGTGATGGGTGACAATGGACTGGGCAGGTCCTGGTGGGCCAAGCCCAGAACCCGCCTCATCTACGTGGCAGTGATGACATGCTCTCCTCCAGGAGACTGGAGAATCTCTGGACCCAGAAGAGAGCTGGGGCCCTGGGTCCCACTTCATATGCAGAGACCAAGGGGACACACACACACCAGTGGCTGTGAGACACCTGTCTTCGGAGCACCCGGAATGCAGGGAGCAGACCTTTACCTACTGGGCGAGAGAAGAGGTTCTCTGGGGCTGTAACCAGCTCAAGAGGAAAAGCCCTGAAGACACCGACTTCTAGGGTTTCCAACAATAGCTCGTCAAGGGTCAGTCAGCCCCCCGGCCAGTCTCCTCTTCAGCTTGACATGTCTGCACATGGGCACATGACCCAGGTTTACCAGACGTCTGGGAAACACGTGCTGTGAAAGATTGAGGCCAAAACAAACAGAAAAAACCGTGGAAGGAAAGAGAGCATACAGGGAGAAAATGGAAACAAATTTAATGTCCCCAGGGAGGTGAGATAAGCAATCACCACACACACACACACACACACACACGG